CTGATTCCTCTTGAAGTCATTTTTTCGTCCATTCTCTCTACATGTCGAAACCACCTCAACAACCTCCTCAGCCCTCTGGACAACAGTTTTGGTAATCCCGCACACTCTCCTAACTTCCAAACTACGAATTCTCTGCATTATATTCACACCACACATTGCCCTCAGACATTGACATCTCCACTGCCTCCAGCCTTCTCCTCGCTGCAACATTCATCACCCATGCTTCACACCCCATTATAAGAGCGTTGGTAAAACTATACTCTCATACATTCCCCTCTTTGCCTCCAAGGACAAAGTTCTTTGTCTCCACAGACTCCTAAGTGCACCACTCACCCTTTTCCCCTCAACAATTCTATGATTCACCTCATCTTTCATAGACCCATCCGCTGACACGTCCATTCCCAAATATCTGAATACATTCACCTCCTCCATACTCTCTCCCTCCAATCTGATATCCAATCTTTCATCACCTAATCTTTTTATCCTCATAACCTTACTCTTTCCTGTATTCACTTTTATTTTCTTCTTTTGCACACCCTACCAAATTCATCCACCAATCTCTGCAACTTCTCTTCAGAATCTCCCAAGAGCACAGTGTCATCAGCAAAGAGCAACTGTGACAACTCCCACTTTATGTGTGATTCTTTTATCTTTTAACTCCACGCCTCTTGCAAGACCTAGCATTTACTTCTCTTACAACCCCATCTATAAATATATTAAACAACCACGGTGACATCACACATCCTTGTCTAAGGCCTACTTTTACTGGGAAATAATTTCCCTCTTTCCTACATACTCTAACTTGAGCCTCACTATCCTCGTAAAAACTCTTCACTGCTTTCAGTAACCTACCTCCTACACCATACACCTGCAACATCTGCCACATTGCCCCCCTATCCACCCTGTCAACGCCTTTTCCAAATCCATAAATGCCACAAAGACCTCTTTAGCCTTATCTAAATACTGTTCACTTATTGTGTTTCACTGTAAACACCTGGTCCACCACCCCCTACCTTTCCTAAAGCCTCCTTGTTAAATCGCTATTTTATTTCCCGCCCTTTATTTCTTAATTCTTTCAATAATAGCTGTACCATACATTTTTATCAGATAACTCAAAAAAATTTTTCCCCCCTTTTAAATTTTTTTGCACTCTTTTTTGTCCCCTTTCCCTTTTAATCAAAAAAAAAACAATCCCGGCTCTCTGCCAATCCCTGGGTACCTTCCCCCTTTTTCTATACATTTATTAAATAATTGAAACCAACCATCCAAAAACTATACCCCCACCGTTTTAACATTTCTATCTTTACCCCTTTCAATCCCGGCTCCCTTTCCCCCCTTTTTCTTTTTTACCTACGGGCCTCACGAAACTTCCCCCTTTTACCCCACAACTGGCTCTTCCTCACTCCTAAAAAGATGTTTTTCCCTCCCTGCTCTATAAAACAAATCCAGTTTTCCCTATCTTCTTTAAAACATTTAAAAAATTCCCCCAAAATTTTCCCTCCTTTTTTCCCAAATTCCCTTTCAAACTCCCCAAATTTAAAAACTCCCTCTCCTTTTTTTAAACTGACAAATCCATTTTTCTCTGGGCTTCCTTAATTTGTTAATCTCACTCCAAAACTTTTTCTTATTTTCAACAAATTTGTTGATAACATTTTCGCCCCCTCTCTCAATTTTCTCTCGTTTTTTTAGAAAGTGGGTGAGAAAAATTTTTTCAAGAAATTTTGTTGAAAATAAGAAAAAGTTTTGGATTAATATTTTATATAAAGTTATAAAAAATAAATTTTATATATATATATATATTATTATATATATTTTATATTATAAAATTTTCTGGCTGGGCTCCCACCGAAGGGAGGGGTGAAAACCCCAATAAGAAAAAAACTTTCACCATCATTTTACTCTATCGCCCTTTTTTGCCGTGGGCCAATTAAAACTGTGTTTAGATACCCCTCCAAACTGCATGTATCTCAAAAAAATCCCTTTAAAAATACAGCCCCTGCACTTTCCACCTCCAGGACTCGAGTCTTTCTAATCAGTTTCCCTGCATCCCTTCACAAAATATTACCCTGCTCACACTCCAAAAGTTCATCGAATGTCAAAAACCAATTTTCTCCACTCATTTCTAAGATGCTCACTAATGCCTGTGGAATGTCGAAGCCCCTTACTCACAAAAAATCACCTTTACGCCCCTCTCCCTCTATCCTTTCCTAGGGCAACCCCAGCTGCACCTTCCCTCCACTACAGATTTATACACCCTCCAAGCCATCCTATTTTGCTTCATCCTGAGCATGGGACTGATTGCCTAACTTCGGCTAGGGACCTCGGAGCTTTAAGACTTCAATGTCATAACTTTGAGTATACTAATGCTTCAATTAGAATAGTTTAACTCCTGTATTTGAAAACAGATGGGCAGCTACTGGATCTTTAAACCTAAAATGAATACCAATAGAAACTTCGTTCACAAAAAGTAATTTTGAATTCAATTTGTGGATAATTAGCTTCCTGTAATTGGGAAAAATTGTTTCCTAATATTATAACTCAGTTGTCCATAAAACGTACATCTACATTCAGAGTGCTACGTGAGTGACGTAGATCTACGTTCAGAGTGCTACGTGAGTGACGTAGATCTACGTTCAGAGTGCTACGTGAGTGACGTAGATTACATTCAGAGTGCTACGTGAGTGACGTAGATCTACGTTCAGAGTGCTACGTGAGTGACGTAGATCTACGTTCAGAGTGCTACGTGAGTGACGTAGATCTACATTCAGAGTGCTACGTGAGTGACGTAGATCTACGTTCAGAGTGCTATGTGAGTGACGTAGATCTACATTCAGAGTGCTACGTGAGTGACGTAGATCTACGTTCAGAGTGCTACGTGAGTGACGTAGATCTACATTCAGAGTGCTACGTGAGTGACGTAGATCTACGTTCAGAGTGCTACGTGAGTGACGTAGATCTACGTTCAGAGTGCTACGTGAGTGACGTAGATCTACATTCAGAGTGCTACGTGAGTGACGTAGATCTACGTTCAGAGTGCTACGTGAGTGACGTAGATCTACATTCAGAGTGCTATGTGAGTGACGTAGATCTACATTCAGAGTGCTACGTGAGTGACGTTAGATCTACGTTCAGAGTGCTACGTAAGTGACGTAGATCTACATTCAGAGTGCTACGTGAGTGACGTAGATCTACATTCAGAGTGCTACGTGAGTGACGTAGATCTACATTCAGAGTGCTACGTGAGTGACGTAGATCTACGTTCAGAGTGCTACGTGAGTGACGTAGATCTACATTCAGAGTGCTACGTGAGTGACGTAGATCTACATTCAGAGTGCTACGTGAGTGACGTAGATCTACATTCAGAGTGCTGTACACTGTAAATGTGGGCTTCGGTACACTGTAAATGTGGCCTTCGGTACACTGTAAATGTGGGCTTCGGTACACTGTAAATGTGGGCTTCGGTACACTGTAAATGTGGGCTTCGGTACACTGTAAAATGTGGGCTTCGGTACACTGTAAATGTGGGGCTTCGGTACACTGTAAATGTGGGCTTCGGTACATGTAATGTGGGCTTCGGTTACACTGTAAATGGGGGCTTCGGTACACTGTAAATGTGGGCTTCGGTACACTGTAAATGTGGGCTTCGGTACACTGTAAATGTGGGCTTCGGTACACTGTAAATGGGGGCTTCGGTACACTGTAAATGTGGGCTTCGGTACACTGTAAATGTGGGCTTCGGTACACTGTAAATGGGGGCTTCGGTACACTGTAAATGTGGGCTTCGGTACACTGTAAATGGGGGCTTCGGTACACTGTAAATGTGGGCTTCGGTACACTGTAAATGTGGGCTTCGGTACACTGTACTGAGAGGTACTTTCAACATTATCACTATTAACATTAACAAATGATAGCCTAATGTCATTTGCCTTAGCCACTGTAAATATAATTTAAACTATAAACTCCGTTTGGAGTTTAATTCTTTAGTAAATCTATCTGAAAATAATTCTGAAAAAGTAACAGTGTATCTTCTACATATCATTTACACATAACTGGGTTACATACGAAGGAAAATCAACTCAATTCTCATCATGTAAATGGAAAAAGTATCTGTAAAATTAGGTTCGAGAGAGTAATTGATGGCTATGTCATCAGTTTCCCTCAAGGAAGGTTCCTTGATGTAGTGAGGGGCTCTTGATTTAGAGAATTGGATCTGTGCTCCAGTTCCTCGAATTAAGCCTGAATGCCTTCCACATCCCCCCAGGCGCTGTATAATCCTCCGGGTTTAGCGCTTCTCCCTTGATTATAATAATAATAATAATAATAATAATATGTCATCAGTTTCTGTGAAAACCTTTTTGTTAAAGCTATAGACAGAGTATTTAGCTGATACTTAAAATACTCTTACAAATTCTTTTAAAACCTTCAACTAAATCCACATCAGCAAATACAAAGTTAAAACAAAAAACTATTGACTCTTTTTAGGAGGATATTCATGATGGACTCTGTCTCAAAATTGAAAAAAAAAACCAGCGTTGTTCTGACAACACGAACCATACCACGGGTGGGGTTTGAACCCGTGGTCAGAGAGTCTCAAAACTCCAAACCGTTAAAATTACATGAAGTTTTGTTTTTAGTATACTGATTTACGTCAAAATCTGCAAAATAATTACTATGAACTGTACTAACTTAAGGTTAAATGTCGCAACAGCACTCAGAATGGAGCAATTTCCTAAAATTATTTTCAAATCGTATTATTATATTATTATTATTATTAATTATTATTATTATTATTCAGATCATATACACGACGCTTATATGGTCTGAGAAATCAACTTTTACAATATCAATGAAGAAATAAGCTGAAAAAATCAGAGGAATGGTAATTTATAACCTGGACTCAAGATACCTGCGAGGTGAGGCTGCCATCAACCATAATGACACAAGAGTGACCATTCATAATTTAGTAATATAAATATAGCAAGGAAGAGTGTAAAACTCACCTGCTCGGGTCGACGGTAAGTGGGTGTAATGATGTAGATTGTAGGAAGCTTAGGGTCTTGTGGAGACTTACGACCTAACTCCTCCTTCACGGTCCGCGTCAGAGAGACTGCCTCGGGAAGATAATGTTGACAGCGGTGATGATGGCAATGATAGAGATGATGGTAGCTAATACTAGTGAAGATGGTTATAGTAGTGACAATGTGGTTAGTAATGATTATGATGAGGAAGATGAGGCTTGTACCTAATTAGATATTCACTCGGCTCACGCCCTCTCAGTCCTGTGTGGATGAGACATCAGTAAAGATTTTCATATACCTGATCACTTAGCAATAAATAAATGCTGAGGGTTTAGTAGACTGTCGTGGGTGGCCTCCTGTAAAAGTGGGGTAGGAATGCATTAAGATATGGCTGGGCTTTGAAATGAGCAGAAGAAGGAACATAGCTATTAGGATACCTCAGTATACCTTCGATAAGGAGAACGGGAGGACAGGGACACCTAGAAAAAATTTAATTAGCGTAAAGAGACCACGACTCTTTAACACCTTCCCTTCATACAAATTTGACATTACAAACAAATCCCTAATTCACTTCAAGAGAGAACTGGATAAATTTTTCATATCAGTTCCAGATCAGCCAGGTTGTGGAACATAACTTGGAATGCCGGCGGCAGGTACCAACAGTTTGATCGATCAGGAGGCCAGGTCTGAGACCCTGCTACGTGAGCCGTGGCCACTAAAGATAACCTACATATATTATCTATATCAATAATACCTCGATATTTTCCCAATATTTTGGATTATATCCAGGACTCTACCATAACAAAATACTTCCTCATTCCCTTCTTAGTTAAAAGTAATAATTGACATCAATAATATGCAAAGCTTATATCTAAAATGTCAGAAAACAAATGTAAAAAAATTAAATTGAAGATTTGGAAATATTGTAGAAAGAAAAGTTATGAAGAGTTTAGTGGCATTACTTTTCAGTGTACCTGGAAAAGCATGTATTTATATATATATACAAACAGAAGGGTTGATGAGGGGCTCGAGCCACGGTTCGTAAATTGAGTCCAATGCTCTATCGTCTATGCTAACCCGGGCCTCTGATAGGAAGGATGCAGAGGCAATACATGCTGTATTAATTAGTACAGAGGCATCAACTGTATCCCAGTTAAACTGTTACTTTTGGTCCATAAATTTTATCAGTACTAAATGTACTTGGTGGATGAATGGTTCAGAGAACCGACACGTTGATAAATTAGACACATGTGCAACTCTTGGGTATCTTTATTGAGGAAACGTTTCGCCACACAGTAGCTTCATCAGTCCATACTAAAGGAGAAACTTGAAGAACAGGAGTAGAATGAGGTAATCAGTCCCTCAGCCTTGAGTCGATGTGACTCAAATCGACTGATCACATCGAATCAAGGCTGAGGGACTGATTACCTCATTCTACTCATGTTCTTTAAGTTTCTCCTTTAGTATGGACTGATGAAGCTACTGTGTGGCGAAACGTTTCCTCAATAAAGATACCCAAGAGTTGCACATGTGTCTAATTTATCACTAAACGTACTGTTACCCCTTCAAGGTCACATTGTCTATGAGCTCAAATTCAGTTGTAACAAAAAACTGTCATTGAATAAACAGAAGAGTGGACAAAGGGCTCGAACCTCGGTCCATAAATTGACAGTCTGATGTTGTACTGTCTAACAGTGACAGGCAAAAATAGGAGTTTTGTGGTAAAAAGAATACCATAGATAACTGTCATGTTCTTGAGAATATAATGTCAAAGGAAGGTGGAACGGCTTGGTACCGAGACACCTGTTCCAATAATTCCTTGGAGAAAGCTTCTTATAAAACTTGGAGTCTCACGAGTTCCTGTTCACTGTGTTCAGTCCGCATCATATCTTCTGTATTCCTGTGGTATTATGAGACCTAGGATTGGAGCCTCTTGTGTCTGTGGTACAAAGGATGAAAGGTTGACAGTTTTAAGGGGCACGTCAGTTCCCCTGCCTTCTAACATGTTATTTTTCCCTATAATCTACCCGTCCATAATTACTATCACATTTGCTTTGTTTCGTAAGTTGAATTCCAGGATCTTTTCTTAATTCATGGTATAACTTAACAAATCTTTGAGGACAGTTGTGTTGTGGAGCTTTGCTCAGACCTGATTGGACCTGATAGCTAGCCTTGACAGGCTATTAAAGCTAATTTTGATTGGTCCTTAAACCCAAGCTTAACAAGTCCTTAAACCTAGCTTTGGTAGACTCCTAAAGAGAATCTTGGCAGGTTGTTAGATACAGTCTTGTTGAGCCCTGTACTTATTACTGAGAGATCTTACATACCTTTAGCCTTGACAGGCCCTTAAATCTTGCTTTGATGGGTTCATAAACCTTGCTTTGATGGGTTCTTCAACCTTACTTTGATGGGTTCTTCAACCTTACTTTGATGGGTTCTTCAACCTTACTTCGATGGGTTCTTCAACCTCACTTTGATGGGTTCTTCAACCTTACTTTGATGGGTTCTTCAACCTTGCTTTGATGGGTTCTTCAACCTCACTTTGATGGGTTCTTCAACCTTACTTTGATGGCTTCTTCAACCTCACTTTGATGGGTTCTTCAACCTTGCTTTGATGGGTTCCTAAAGATACCCTAGTAGATTATGAAAGCTAACCCTCGACTGGGTGTCATAACTAGCTTTGTTAGGCTCTTAAAGGTAGCCTTTATGGATTCGGAAGGTAAAGCTTGATTGCATGTTATAGCTAGACTTGATAGGCACTTAAAGATTGTTTTTCAAAACTCAAAAAACTAACCTTGACTAGGTGTTATAACTAGCCATGATACGCTCTTCAAGAAAGCCTTCATAAAATTTGAAAGATAACCTTGATTAGGTGCTATTACTAGCCTTGATAGATCCTTAAAGATAATTAGTAGCTAGTCATTATTCGTCCCTGTAGTTAGATATGGAATGCCTCAAAGAATAGAGAAATATTTCCTTTGTAAACGTGGTCATTACAATTTTCGAAAGCAAGGTGCGAGGGCCTTGTGACATGTTTTAGGGGTCCCCGTAAAGTCATTTAATATTCCAAGTCAGTCGCAAGATCTATGTTATACCTTTGAGTTCTTCGATGGCTGTCAGACATGGAGGTGGTTCACTTGGTTGGCTCGTGTAGCGTTACAGAAGTAACAACATCCCCACAACATGATGGCGTACACTAACGTCTGTACAGTTGAGCCTCTCCTGCAGGATAACCCCATTCATTTTAAACTTCAAGATAATTATTTATATTTTTTACACACCACAACACACCACACACACACACACACACACACCACACACACACACACACACCCCAAAACACAGGGTGAGCCAGCAAGACTGGATCTTGTGTTCACCCTGAGCAGTTAAAACATTCAGGACATCACTTACGAGAGGCCCTTGGAGCTAGCGACACGTGGTTCTGAGTTTTGATTATAAGTAGAGTTACAAGTGGAGAAGGTAACAGGAACTGAAGGGGACAGGCCAAATATAAAAGGGGGGACTACACAGGTATGAGAAACTTCCTGCAGGAGGTTCAGTGGGACAGAGAAATGGTAGGAAATCAGTAACGAGATGATGGAATATGTGGCAACAAAGTGCAAGGAGGCAGAGGAAAGTTTTGTTCCCAAGGGAAACAGAAATAATAGGAAGACCAAACGAGTCCTTGGTTTACCCGAAGGTGTAGGGAGGCAAAAACTAAGTGCAACAGAGAATGGAAAAGGTACAGGAGGCATAGGACCCAGGAAAACAAGGAGATTAGTAGAAGAGCCAGAAAAAGAGTATGCACAGATAAGGAGGGAAGCCCGGACAGTATGAAAAACGACATAGTATCGAAAGTCAAATCTGACCCGAAACTGCTGTATAGCCACATTAGGAGGAAGACAACAGTCAAGGACCAGGTGATAGGGTGAGGAAAGAAGGTGGAGAACTCACAAGAAACGATCAAGAGGTATGTGAGGAGCTCAACACGAGATTTAGTAAGTAAATTTATTCAGGTATACACAAATACAGTTACATAGAATTATCATACAAAAGCAGCATAATTTTGTAGAGAACCTAGGATAACCCAAAAATGTCAGACAGAGGACTTATTTCCCTTGGGTCCTTTAAGGGTCATTTAAGGAAGTATTTACAGTAGAGACAGGAAGGACTCAGGGGGGACAGACCAGATGGGGACACCAGCAAGGAATACCAACAAGTGTTGGACGACATACATACAGATGAGGAGGAGGTGAAGAAACTCCTAAGGGACATCGATACCTCAAAAGGCAATGGGACCGGACAACATTTTCCCCGTTGGGTCCTTTGAGAGGGAGCAGATATGTTGTGCATGCCACTTACCCAATCTTCAACACGTCCCCGGAAACTGGGCAACTACCTGAGGTAGGGAAAGGACGGCAAAATGTAGTTCCATTTTTAAAAAAGGAGACAGAAAAGAGGCACTAAACTATAGGCCTGTGTCACTGACGTGTATAGTATGCAAAATTATGGAGAAGATTATCAGGAGGAGAGGTGGTGGAGCACCTGGAACGGAACAAGAGTATAAATGCCAACCAGCACGGATTCACTGAAGGCAAATCCGTGTCACAAACCTTCTGGAGTTTTATGATAAAATAACAGAAGTAAGACACGAGAAGAGGGGTGGGTTGATTGCATCTTTTTTGGACTGCAAGAAGGCCTTTGACACAGTTCCTCACAAGAGATTAGTGCAGAAGTTAGAGCATCAGCGCACATAACAGGAAGGGCACTGCAATGGATCAGAGAATACCTGACAGGGAGGCAACAACGAGTCATGGTACGTAATGATGTATCACAGTGGGCACCTGTGACGAGCGGGGTCCCACAGGGGTCGGTCCTTGACCAGTGCTATTTTTGGTATATGTGAACGACATGATGGAAGGGTTAGACTCAGAAAGTGCCCCTGTTTGCAGATGATGTGAAGTTAATGAGGAGATTAAATCTGATGAGGACCGGGGCAGGACTTCAAGGAGACCTGGGACAGACTGGCCCACCTGGTCCAGCAAATGGCTTCTCGAATTTAATCCTCCCAAATGCAAATTTCATGAAG